ACTCCCGTCTAGTGGAGTCTCCCAAGTAGCGGGTTCCTTGACCCTTACATCCTTCTCTTCAAGCGGGTAATCTGAAAAATGTTAGCGATAGGAGGTGAGCACAAAGCTCTGTAGAAAAATTCTCCCAAACCCATACAAGGTTTAGAAAAGCATTTAAAAAGGTCGGTCTCAATTTTAACATAACATAGACATAATTTGAAATAAAGCAGTGACATTTAAAAAGGATCTCAAGTTTATTTAAAAACATTACTTAAATGAATAAACGAGCACCACATACAAATAATAACCATTAATTGTCATAACCAATTCCCAACAATTCTTTCGGTAAGTGGCATACTTTGTGGTAACCTCCACCCCCCTTTAGGTCACATTTGATTCTCAAGCATCCTTACCGGAAACCTCTTGAAAATGGATGAGCATCCTTATATGAAACCTCTTACCAATCACTTCATTATTTTTCAAGCATCCTTACCGGGAACCTCTTGGGAAGAGGTGAGCATCCTTACAAGGAACTTCTCACTCATGTGCATCACAAACAACCCAACCAAGCATACAATTCCAACATATATCTCAATTTACAAGCATCTGTCCAAAATCCCCAAAATATATCGTATAACAATTCCACAACCAACTAAGAAAATACATGAGATCACAATAACATCATTTTTCTACCCAACACAAAGCACTAAGGTTTCGAAATCCATAATAAAGAAAACATTTAGGAAGGAAATACATCACTCTCCAAAAATTAGGGTTTTAAAACTAGAAAGGAGATTTCATGGGTATTAAACCTTATTTTGTTCAAAACATGTAATCCTTGTAAAAAGTCTAAGAGAGGATGATTCCATAGCATGTATATACCATTGATAGCCAAAACATACATATATAAATACCCTAGCCTCAATGTAAGTGAATCAGAGAAAACTCCTACCTTGAATCCTTAGCTTTGGAGTGAAAAACAAGAATATTTGATCTTGAATCACCCTTAAATCTCTTGTTTTTTCATTCCTTCTTCTCTAATGCTCTCTAGGGTTTCAAGAGGTGTGGGGGTGTGAGGGGAGTGAAGGAAATGAGAGCAAATGAGATGAAAATGAGTTTAAAACATAGCAGCCCCGAAAAACACTGTTCACAAGTTGTTTTGGGTTTCTCCAAATTTATGATTTTGTCACTAAGAATCTCTAATTTGATCCATATGACTACCCTAAGGTTTGTCGACGTTCCGGATTCATTTTTAATGTTATTTTTACCTAAAAATATTTATTTTTATGATTTATCTCAAAACCCAAGTCATCGTACACCCAAAACACTAAAGTTTCTATTTTACCCATTCGAATCGGTTATTAATGAAGTTTTGCGATGTTTGCAAATAAAAGGTGATAAAGGGTGTTTCTTAAAGCCTTTTATACTTATTTGAAGCCTAAAAGTACTTATTATTCTTATATTTTGATTTAGGATACAAATGGAGACATTAAATGCAAAACGAAGCTAATTAGACTATTTTGACATCGTTTCATTATCTGAGCATAACTCTTTCATTCAAGCTCTGATTGAGATGATTCAAGATGCTATGGAATGATACGAAAGAGCTTTAAAACTTTCATGTTTTGAGTTTTGAGAGATATTGACTACATCAAGGTCTAAATCGAGCTTGAAGTTGTAACAGTGCACTGTTCTATTTTCAATCTCTATTTTTCCAATCTACCAAATTCAAACACACATCACTACATATAACCACATTTTTTTTTACCACAATTATTTACTATATATCTATATACATATATAAAAGAAAATGCGGGGTGTTACAGATAAAAATTACCTAATTATATTATTTAAGGATAAAAAAGAAAATCAAAATTTTGAACGATAATTAACATTTAGAATTCAATATATATATATATATATATATATATATATATATATATATAAAAATTGATTTATTCATTTATTCCTAGAATAGAAATGGTCGAAGAGTTAAATTAGAAAATATGATATAATTGTCTTTATGTAATTGTTTGAGGATAGAAGAGAAATATAAAATTAGTGTGACATTAACTTTGAAGAATAAAGATTGACATAATTGTAGTTTTAGAGGGCAAAAGTGAAAAAAAATGTTTTTTATGTATGCTAGTAGTTTAAAGTAGTATAGATATTTGGGTGGGATCCTCATCTTTCTCATTTATGATGCTCTGTCTTTATTATTTATCTCGTTCTCATTGGTGTTCTATTGCTTTGATGTGTCATATTATTCTAATCAATTAGTTTATTGGGATTTTAGATTTCGTCGTAGAAATCTTAATTATAGAGATTGTACGGAATTGGTGTCATTACTATCTTTGATTCATGAGGTTAGGTTTGTATCATGAGTGAAGTGATAAAAGAAAGTGGTGTTTTGAGTCTTTGAGATTGTTTTTGTGTAAGTCATTCTTTAACAAATTAATTGATAATTCTTTAGACTGTGTTTTTTCTCTCTGTGATGATTTGGAAAGCTAAAGTGCCTACCAAGGTGCAAGGACTATTGATCATTTGTTCTTACATTACCCTATTACTTCATTCTTATGGTCCAAGCTATTTCAAGTAGTTGGTTTGAATTGGGTGATTTCTAGGATATTGTCAACCATGATGACAGAGGATTTTGAGGGGTTAGGAAGACATAATAAAGCAATGACCCTTTTGTTTGTGTGCTTTAATTGCCATCATATGGGTAATATGGATGTAAAGGAACTCTAGGATTTTTGGGAATTGAGGAGAATGAAAGGAAGACTTATTGGATTGCATCTATTTTTTTGGCATTGTTGTGGGCTTCCGTTACGAATGAGTTTGATGGTATTCCAGTTCTTTGTATTTTAGCGGATTTGAAGGCCAAATGTGATACATAATTTGATTAGTTGAGATTTGTATTTTTCTCCTTCATGGTTGAACATCTTGTCCATTCATAGTGCTTTTTTATGTATCATTTTTGATCATTTTAAATCAATAAAGTTGTTTTGTTTCCTATTAAAAAAAAGGGAACACGACTGACACGATTGGAACATGTTTTGGGATTTTTTTTATTCAATTTTTTGAAAACTTTACAAATGAATTTATAATGAAGGAAGTTGTTTTTGCAATTAAAGAGATGGATTAAGTCATAATATAAAAAGAGTTATAATCAATGTTGCCTGAATCGATGGTCGCTTTAGTACGTGATACGGGTACGGGTATGTTGTACAACTCTTTTTTTATGTACGTAGTACGATATTTTGGGTCGTAATTTGTTTGGGAGCGCTTAACTAAACTGTTTTTACTACTTTACAATATTAAATATGATAGAACATTCATAAACACTAAGTCAGTTACCATTTATCTTACATTTGTGCTCGATTTTTATTATCTAAAATAATATATAATTATAAATCTATATACATGTATTTAATTCATATGTATTTTGTATTTGTGTTACGTGTACAATTTGGGATCGTACATTTAGTGATATGAATCGTGAATCCACCCTATTTGGGATCGATGTACCCAAATCGTGGGTCGTTAGGGGTTTAATGAATTCTGGTAACTCTGGTTATAATCACTACTTGAAGTAGAATAAACTTTTAACATGAAAGCAATGTGATGAACAGTGAGGTTACAAAATTGGGATTTTTTGAAATTGATGAAAATTAATATTACAAAGTAGAATATTTTTGAAAATGAAAGTAGTAGTAATCATTAATTATTGGATTATGGATGTTAATGATGAATGCGTATCTGTATAGTTTATGATGTATTTTTATGCGGTGATACCATGGTGAGACTTTTTAAGATTAAGGAAAGAATGAATTGAAAAATTATTATTAAAATATAAATTTTATCACATGATTTTATATATATATATATATATATATACATACTAGCAATACGTGTTCTTGAAGACATTTTGTAATACCAAAATTCAAGCATTGATGGTACAACATTTAAAATTAAATGAATAAAAATAAAATAAGAAAGAGGTACGTGAGAGAGAAGAGAGATATATGTGTGAATTGGTAGGGTTGTTTAATATTGAGGGTCGTGCAATGAAAATGATGTTTTTGAGCGGGAAAAAAATTTTGGGGTGAATTTTATATCATTCGATCAAAGTTTGATAAAAATTGAATCAATTTTGACCGCGTTATACTTTTATAAATTGAAAGCTCAACTTCCTAGTTGTAATATTAGATAAATTTAACGTGTCCTCAACATATTTGTGTCCTACATTTTTGAAAAATTGTGTCTATCTATTCGTATTGTATCCGTATTCGTGCTTCTTACTCTACTATCAATCCAAATGGATCAATGAATTTTTAAATTCTTGATTCTCTTTCTATTTTTCGTACGATGAATTGGTTTAAATAGATTTGAGATTGGTGAAAAACGTGTCCAAACATATCTTTGCACGTTCGGAACGTGTCTAAATTTCAAAAAAAGAGACAATCACACCCTTTTTTGCGTGTCTGGAGTGTGATGTCTTTGATTCTCTAGTGCTTTCTCTAATGTTAGGTCTCGATTGATTGAGTCTAGCCAAAAAAAAAAAAACAAACAAAACTCTCTCTCCTCAAATCACTTATTCGACACGTTTAACACATGCAAGTAGGACGAGAAGTGGTGTTTGGTAAATGGGCAAGTAATGCGTAAGAACCTTCAGACGTGTCAGACAATGATACGTTATCCAAAATTGAGTGTCCGTGCTTCATAGCTTATATTTAGTAAAAGTTGATTGCTCTTTTTGACTCGGGTAGGAAAAATGGATTCATGCCACTTTTCTTTTTGTTTGTATGTGGTGCCATTCTTGTTGGTGATGAAAACCACAAGGTACTAGTTGAGCAGTTGATTTGCTTCCCCTTTTTGGGCAATGTAGTCTGTTGTTCTTTTATATTATCCCATGTTTAATGATCCTAAATGCTCAAACTCAACTCGACAAGCCTTGTACCAACTATTTTGAGTTGATTACATGAATTCTATTACATCCTTGTGCTTTTCTGATCCTATATATGATGCTAGTCTGTCTTGGCAATGGGGCTCGTTCAGGTAGGGGTGATCGTTTGCCAATGCTGCTCCACGAGGAAAAGTAACCTCCAAAATTTGTCCCAACCTTATTGAGAGTCTGAGTGGGGCGTGAGATGTGTATAATCAGGATGGGGCAGATATCCCACTTTTTTGAAGGTTTTAAGGTTTTTTTGGGACAACTGGCCTACCATGAGTGGGGCTTCACATTGGGGATAACATGAGTGTTTTGTTGAGGAAATCATTAAAGGTTGACTAAAGGAGCCATGGGTGAACGTCTATGAAGCACGGATATGGATACGGGATACAAGGGCAATATAATATGTATATGGTAGTACGACAAAATCTAAAAAAATACGATACGGGTACGGTCAAGGTACGACTATAATAAAATATATTTAATATTTTTATTATTTTCAACCAGCTTAATACTTATATATTTTTGTAGTTCTTTGACACTATGGAAAATTAGTAATTTTTTTAGTTTCAAGAAAATATATATTGTATCGCTATGGTATATTCAAAATATTCACAAAGTGAAGTAGCTAATTAAAGAAATCAAAACATGGTCTAGTCGGTTTATTTAGAAGTAATTTTTGCTAAGATTATAATGTTTTTGATTTATTTTATGCTCTTTTAATATGTAATTGTAGATAATACTTAAAAACATTCATGTGTCTTTAGAGTAATATGAATTTTTGTTAATGTATTGTATAGTATGTGAATTCGAAAGGAGATGTTAAAATTTCAACTCCAAAATTATGTGTTGCTCGAACACAAAAGTATCCGTGAAGTATCATAAAATTTAATTATTATTGAATACGTAAAAGATGAATCTGATACCTATCCTTGAGTACCTGATGAGTATCGTAACTGATGTGGATACGCTGACCTCAACAAAGTATCTATGTTTCATAGGTGAACATGCATGATGAGACAAATCCATTCATGGACGATTTCACCAAATTCGAATCCTTCCATGAACCTTGGTGGTTAATTTTGTATATCCCATTCCCTCTCGTACTCACAAAATTTTATGGCTCAAAGAGAAAAATGCCATCCCTAGATCTTATAGTACTTTTTGGCTTTGCTTTTTGGCAAGTCTCGAATTTGTTTATATTTTTTTTTCAGTTTTTCATTTTGGGTCAGGGATTTCGTACTCAGTAGCTTGTCTTGTGACAGGGCTTTGGAAGATACAGATACATCACCCCCGTGCATGGCTGATGTTTTCAGAGGGATGGGAAAGGCTGCTCGTGATTCTTTATGCGCAATTGCAAGGCATCTTCGTTTGCGGAGCGAGTAAGAATGTTGATCTTGGATGCATTTATTCTTATCCTAAACAGTTGGCGTGCGTTTGTTGCTGACTATTCATTATGTTCTAATAATTTGTTACTTGAAACATATATTTTGTAGTGTTTTCAACCATTTACTTGATGATAATCCATTGCCTGCTAATGAGGCTTCTTCATCAGTGCTGGTTGCCACCTACTCTCAAACATCCTTTCAAAATGGGAAAGGTGCTATTGGGGTAGGGAAGGTGGCGACAAATGGTGAAGTTGAGAAGGGGTTGTTGACACTGATTTCTTCAGATGCTCCTGGTCTTCAGGTATCTTACAATCACGTGGCTACAAATTTGTTGTTTAGTTGGCATGATTTTCCATTCCATGAAATTATATGGAAGTGTTGCATTATCCTATTACATTGTCTACATGGAATAAATAGACTAACTTGGCAAGTTTGAATTGGATTCCTCGGCCATCGTCTATGTTTGCTGTGGATTTGAGGGGTTTTGGGATGGAGAAAAAGGTGGCTACACTTTGGCATTGTGCAATTCATGCTACAGTGATTGTACATGGTTGGAAAGGAACACCACGATATTTGAAGATAGATGTGAAGTGGTGGAAGGATTATGGGATTGGGACCCTTTTTAGCATCTTTTTGGGTTTCGGTCACTAAAGATCTTGAGGGAACACCTCTCTTTTGCATTATAGTGGGCAGAAAGATTCCTCTGACTTATAGCTTTATATGTAGTTAAGGCCATCTATGTACAGTTTTTTCTATTATTTCCACATTTTCTTTCTGATGTACGGCTCTCTTATCAATTAATTTTTCTCTTTCTTATTAAAGAATGTCAATAGTGGAAATAGTTTTTAATCTTTAGTTAAGAAGTTAAAACAGCTTTCTTTCAGTTCTTGTGTTGAACCCCATAATCAGGGGATGGTTGCCATATCTGTTTTCGGACACCTGATTGCTGTGTTCCTTAAATCATTTCCATCAGTTTTTTTTCTCCTTAGGTGTGTGATCCCAATGGCCGTTGGTACTTAGCAGATAGTGGCTCGGCTCCTGGAGACCTCCTACTTCTTACAGGCAAGGCACTCAGTCATGCAACTGCTGGCCTTCGCCCTGCTGCCTCACATAGGGCTGCACCTGATCAGTTTCCAGGCACTACTACTGGTGGAAGGTAGATATTTTTACTTGTATTAAAGCTTCTGCAAGTGAATTTCTCAGTTTTAAATAATAACTTAAAGTACTGAGTTGACTTTGCGCTTGATAGGACATCACTGGCATTTAGGCTCATGCCACAAGGCAATGCTATTTTAGATTGTTCCCTGATTGCTGCTGCTGGTCATGTTATTCCTCATAGTTATGTACCAATCTCTGTAAGCCAGTTTATGGATGACCTTTCTGCTGAAGAAGATGTAATGTGCAACCACACTGACGATGCTTATGTATGTCCTATCTCTTTTAACTCAAATTCAGACACACCAGAAAGGGGATAAAATAAAAATGACAACTCTCAGCCTTAAAAAGTCACTTATAAGTGCAATCCTCTACTTTTGTTGTTCTTATTGAAATTGGACTTTGTTAAATTCACCATGTAGTCGAGCAGTTGTTTCAAACTGCTTGTTTTGAATGGCTTCTCATGATTACAGGACACTTTGGAAATGTAGAATGCTATATAAAATTATGTTACTTTGTATTATTCAATCAATTCCACCATTTACTAAGTCTTGATTTTGAGAAGTTCTGCCTGTGTCTTATTTGGTGAGTTTCCAATGTCTGTTATACATGTTCACAATGGTAAAATGTTAAAGTCATTGATTCTCATACATGCTTATACTGTAGTTTCTTTTGATTTTTTTTGTATACTATATTGCATGTTTGAAATCTTTTGTGTAATATTTATCATGTTGCTTGTGGTGGGACTTTTTCTCTGTTGTTAGATTGTGACGTTGTTGGTTGGTTAACTTTTCTTTTTAACAGTAAATATGACCCTTTGTGCTCTGCCATGTTTTCTAACATTGATATGAAATGCATGTTTTGAGTATTTTATGTAAGGAGTCTTATTTCAGATTTGCTTTAGCAGGTGGCTCGAGATAATATTAGTAAGGACCCCTCATTAAGAAGCGTTCTCTCAGATCCCCTATCGTGAGTTGGATTATGAGTTTGGATTTGTTTCCTTTGTTTTGAGTATATTCTGTATTTTCTAACAATCACAAAATACATGTTTTGAGTATATTCTGTGTTTTGTGATTGTTGACTTTTATTGCTTTAAACGGATTAGTCTCTGTTGGATGATGACAAAAGTACTATACGTTGGAACCTATGAGGCGTGGATAGAGACATGGGTGTCGTATCCGATATGATATGGACACAGGAATACGATAAATTTCCAAAATATAGGATATGGTTATGGCGTGGTTACAGCTAATTAAAATAATATTATGTAAGTAACCAACAGCAAAAAAATCATTTTTTGAACAACAAAAGGAAAAATGTAACAATGTTCACAGCAACTAAGTGACTAACACAACAAATAAAGAACAACAAAATCAACTGTGAGGTTAAAAAGAATGTTCATGAATAGAAACAAAAACAATTAAATGCTAAACAATAAACACAGGTTAGTGAACAACAAAAGCCCAAAAAATTTGTTCTACCATGTTCAAGCAACAAAAGCCCCAAAAGTTTTTACAAATTTTCCAAACCGTAACCCATTGAAATTCATAAATCACATGATTCCAAACAAAAATAGAGAAATCAATGTACAAAATCAAGTGTTTAATCTTATTTCAAAGCATGCAAACCAAAACCATAGCCCAAGGAAAAAAAACCCTGATTTTTTCTTCTCTTCTTCTTCTTCTTCTTCTTCTTCTTTAGTCGATCTAGTGCTTAGCCTCTTCATTCACCCCTCTCAGTCGATCAAAGAGAGAATGAGAACCCCGAAAAGAGAATACCCACCCGTAGATTTTGTTTTGGCCAGAAGAAACGTCGTCACCCCACTCAATTCTCCTTTTTTTTCAGCCCCTAATACTTTTTCAAAATAACAAAGAAAAAAAAAAACCCCACCGTATCCCCGAAGTATCCGCACGTGTTCCTCCCGTATCCAACCCATTTCCCAACGGTATTTGACTCAAATTTTTTTTTCCTATTCAGGACACTTTTAGAAGTGTCCAATCGTGTCCCACGTGTATCTGTGTCAAACATGTGTCCGACACGGCCACGTCGACTCCTCGGAGAGTATCTGTGCTTCGTAGGTTGGAACCAAAGCTTATAAGAGAAACTTTACTGCAGTAAGCACTACTTGACACAACCATATTCCAACCTAGATGAATTAAAAAAAAAAAAAAGAAGGAAAGTTCGGTATATTTTTGTAACCAAAACGCATAATGAAGCTAAGGTTTCACTCTTTCTGAGATAATCCTTGGACTCAGCTTTTGCATTAACCAAACAACATCAAAGATGGGAAAAAGTCTAATATTCATCCCAAAAGGTCCATAATCCTCCACAAATAAAGGAACATAGTTGCAAGATGTATTGAATCCATTCTCATTTCCTAGCACTTAACCGAATTCATCCTCATTTCCTACCGATAATTTATTTGATAACAAAAGAATATTGATAAGGGAGAGAACAAAGAAAAGAAGTATAGTATGAAGCACTATAAGAGAGAATAAAATAGAACACATGAAAGAAAACTAAGAGACCGCATTCTAATCGTTTTGGAAATTTGAAAATGGCACCCTTTTGAAATCCCTCCTGAAATTGTCAATAAAGAAGCGAGGAATACAATTCTATTTTAGATGAAGTTAAAAGGAAGGGAAAAAGAACGTGGAAAATTCTAACAATTCTATCCAAACCAAAGGCACCAAAGAATTTCCACTAATGCAAGATTCCAAATGATCTTAGTTTCTTTCAAGGATCAAATTCGTTTCGGTGCATTCTTTCTGTCACCAAGAATTTTTTTTTTCAAGAATACTTTGTAAACAAAATGGAAATAGAGAAAAAAAATTAAACATTTATTTCTGAAACATAGGAATTTCAATATTGAATCACTAATTTATTTTGGTTTCCACAGAAACAGTAATGTCTCGACCATTTTCGAATGAAATTTAGATGCTTGGTTTCTTTAGTCTTCCTAAAATTTGAAACCTTTATACTTTTTCACTGAGGAGGAAAAACTCAACTATCTCTAATCATAGTAAACAATTATGCCACAAGCCTCAAGCAAAAGAGCAATGAGTGTATTTACCTACAAAAAGGAGCAATGAGTGAACAAATAAGCATTGGCTCTTTATTCCTTGGAGAAGTTAATAAATGCAAGGACCGAGCTTTATAAAACCGCACTTTCAACAATTCCTTAGTATTCTCCCCGAGGACAATAAAACCAACGAAAGTCTCGAGTTTCGAGGGAACTTTTGCTTTCTAAATGAACTTGAGGGATAGGAATAGGAATAGGAAGATCTACAAGGAAATTATGAATTTATCCATGGTTCGAAGCATATGATAAATAGTAGAAGTAAGACAAATGATGGAGAATATTAAGGAAAGAAGCTAAGTCCTCTATTTTTCTATCATTGAGGCACCTAAATAAAAAAAACTCAAGAATAAGAGTCTTCCCCAATAACAAGAAAACCCCATGCCTCTCACAATAATGGGGATCACCATCGCCCTTTATCGATTAAGAAAATGTTTTTAGACACCAAGTTATCAATTCTCAAACACCCTTTTGCCTCTAGACTTCCCCAGAGTCTCCCAACTTACTAAATGCATCCCTTATCCTTGATCAAAGAAAATTTGTGATTATCTTCTCTAGTCTTTTGGCAACAATTGTATTGAAATTAAATGAAGACAAGTAATATACTGTATACTAGACATTCAAGATTGTTTCAAACTATTCTACCCCTACAGAAAAATATTCCTTTTTTTTGTTGCCCTCTCAGCAACCAAATCCCATAGAGATAATTACATCTGATTACCCCTAATGATAGACCTTGATAATCCACACATGAATCCCACAACCAGCTACTAAAGAAAAGTCTTTCACAGCCTCCTCCAAATTAATGCCAATAACTCCACTTTTGGAGATATTTACTCTTTAACTTTAAATCTTTTAAAAATTTGAAGTAACAAAAGCACATTTTGAAATCTCTTCATTTTTTCCTGTATTAAAAAAACAATTTTATTGGGAACATGGATAAAAATATACGGCTCAGCTACTTTTGAACTAATAAGGATACACGTTACAGGAATATACTTAGACTTACTCGAATTGGTGTTGACTTGGTTATAACTTAGAGGTAGCAGCACAACTAAGGGCCACATTGTTTTGAATCTTTTGACTCGGACTAGTCAGACCAAACCAAATCAATATGGTGACACTTGATTAGCAAAATCTTAGACAAGCCAAAAAATTCAAAGAAAAGAGAAATGGAGAAGAAAAGAGAACCCAAAAGCCCTATATCAATGACACAGGAAACTCATATCAAGAGAAGCAATCAATAAATCCTAAATAAAGTTCCTTATGTGATTACAAATACGTAAACAACAATTGAAAGTATTTGCAAGCACCACTTGTAAATTTGAATACATAAAGCCTCTTCTTTGTCATTGTGCACAACGATCCAGTCTCATATCTACTTCCCAACATTGATGGTTTTCTCTCGCTCTCTCTTTTATCGCGGTTTTCTTCATTTCCCTCAGGTTCTTGTCTAAGAGGAATTGAAGGATGGGAATAGACAAGATTCAGTTCCGATACAATACAAATAAATAGGAATGGACCATATGGGTCTCTTTTGGTGGGCCGTGCGAAAGAGCATCAAATCTCGACTCGGTATTACCCTTGTGGGAGTTAACCTGATGGTGGGCTTGGTCCAAAATCGAACTCTAGGCTCCTGGCTGTCTTACTGGACTAATGGCTTTAGATTCCCTTATTCTACGAGGGGCGGATCGGGAAAGCCTCAATCTCTCTCTCCATCTTCTCTTTCTGTGTGTCATGCCTGTTGAAGTTACATATAAGACTAGGAGTCAAAACCCCATCGGTTATGTTAAAACACTGAATGATATTAATATTAATAGGTTGTATTAGACACATAGTTGTCAAATCGTGATTCATATCTTAAATCGGAATCCTAAATTTGAGAATTGTGAATCGTATCGAATCATGAATTGTAAGATTTGACACAAAATTTGAACAAAAATAAAAAATAATATTTATATATTTAAAATAGACAAAATATTAAATATTGAACATTATTGCATTCTAAAAATAATCAATTGACATAATCACGTTGTTTAAATGGAAAGACGTTAGTCTTTTGCTTCATTTTCATCTTTTGCTTAACCATTTTCAAATTCAACAATTTAAAAAAAAAAATTCATTAAAGAACCATGGTTATTTAAGAACCAAAATAGTGACACTTAGTACATACTAGGTTACAAACATGAAAGAAAAGAGAACAAATAAGAAAATTGATCGGGAGAAAACATACGGGCTAACATTTTGAAACAAAAAATTATAACCTAACAAACTATCCATGAAAGAATTGGAAGGAAAAATCAAAGTTTATTCTAAAATATGATGACAAGAGATAGAAAAATCCAATGTAAACAAAAAAAAAAAAAAGCATGCTAGGGCTTGCTTACTCTTTAGAAAAAGAAGAAGAGGAGTAGGAAGCATACCTTCAACCGATGACGTGAGAGCTTTAGTTGTGACCTTTAGTTTCAAACAATGCGAGGTGATCTTTAGACGACACGAGAGAGAGATAATGAGTAAAGAGATTGAGTTTTTATTAGGGCGTGAGTTCCTCTACAAATAAAACGACGTTATTTTACTATTTTGTGGACAAAATGACGCTTTTTTTTTAAAATTTGGATTTTAAAAAAAAAGTGACTGAATCGTGCGATTTGTGTGATAGAAATCGAATTGTACGAATCACACGATTCAAATGTGATTCAACTCTAAACGTGATTCTCATTTAAGATACAAATTGTTTTGTGCCTGTATCGATCCGAATTGTACGAATCAAATCGAGAATTATACGATTTTGATAACTATGATTAGACATAACAGATCACTTAATGACTGATGGTAGGATATATATAATAGATCATTAGTGATTGATGGGAGGCGTTTAATATCTCTAATCAAAA